CCCTGCCAGGGAACAATTCCCAATTGCCAAGATCCCATCCATCTCTGCTCTCTGGCAGTGGGAAACCATTCTCCCGTGTCCTGTCACATCCAACCTTCAGTCACAGGTGGACTCTACATCCTGGTTTGTTGATTATGTATTCCTTCAATAAGCTAAAATAATTAATATGATTTTGCATTCTAAAGGGATATTCTGTTCTGAGTATCACCTCTGAAGGGTGAGCCCAGCCAGCAGTCAAGGAAGGAGCTGCAAACTATTAGCTTTATTTATTAAGGAGAAAAATTTAGTCAGAAAAATTATATGGAGATGGAGACTTCCCAGTGAAACTTTGTTTTCAGATACTCAAAATGGTCACATCATTGCAAGGAGAAGAACAGCTGGAATCCATCCTATTTCACTGGAAAATGAGAGGAACAAATAGTAAATTGATGATCCCAAATTGATATGTATGTGTCAAAGAGCAGTAAGGGCAAACAAATAGCAACATAAATAATAACATTTTATATTGATCAGTGAGTACAAGATGACCCTGAATCCAAGCAATGCCAGAAATTCAATGGGAGGCTTGAGAAAAGATGACTCAAATTGAATCAATACCTTGAGCTGCTTCCTTTGTCCAGCAGTTTATTATGATTCTGAAAAATCCCTTGCTTGAAATATTTTACAGTAATTTGAGAAGCAGCTGAGCAGGTGCTGTGTTGGGGAAAACGGCGAAAAGGAAAGAGGGGAGAAATTGCAGGAGGGGGGTTGAACACGAGAACTCGTAAATTAAATTAAATTAAATTAAATTAAATTAAATTAAATACAATACCGAAAACAGTTTTAAAGTTTGGGTTGGAGTGGAAAGGTCAAAAACTGATAAAAATTTTCACCCAGCTCAGCTTTGCTGGGTATCCAGGACAGGATTTGGGGAGGTGATTTACACTCTCCCACATCCCTTGGGATGGCACCAGCGAGGCACAGACACCGGGCACGGAGCAGGGAGTGCCCCATGTCCCTGTGCCCCTGCCCCTGTGCCCCTGCCCCTTCCCTGCAGCCCCCTGCTAATGACCCAGCAGAGCAGCTTGGGCTGGCCTGGCAATGGCTTCTCTTTCTGATATGGGATCAAAGAGGGCTCTGGAGCCGCGAATCCCTGCGGGAGGACGAGGGGTCGGCTGGGATTAAGACGTGCAGTAATTTGTGAAGGGTAGGAACAGAAGAAATGAGCTATTAGGGGAAGGATTCGTGGCTGGCAGGATCAAAGAGCAGCAGTAGGAAATGTTTAGAAGGCGCTGGGAACAAAGGGAATTCAAACCCATATGAGTCTATTAATAGACAGAGGAAATTTATTAACAGCGGCAACAAATCAAGTGTTCAATAACTTCCTAAATTCTGCTTTTGCAGAGAAACCAGATCTCTTTTCTTAAAGCTGATGAAGGACTTGCAAGACTGCTATTAGCCAAGAAATTTAAACCACATACCCAAAAATAAACTGATATTTTACACCTACAACCAGATAACCCAAACACTATGATCCTTGAAGTGTTGACAGAGGTGTATAGCAAGCTTTGGAAATACCAGACAACAGCTGAGTTAGAACTGAGCTATTGTGACAGCCTGAAATCAGATAATTACAGGTTGTATATTGATATTAAGTAATAATTAGATAATAATTTCATATTAGAATAACAGAAGGATTATGAATATATACTTAAGCTTGGTGAGGTGTTAAGCAGCAAAGGTGGGGAAGGATCAAAAAAGCAGCAACTCTGGGGAGAAATTCAGGGTGAGCAAAGCAGAGCTGAACTGCAGGGGGTGCCTCTGTAACAGAGGGGTTTTAGCTTAAATTTGGGTGTATATACTGACAGGAATGGGTACATTTAACCAGGACAGGGGTGCAAGCCCTGGGCATGGCACAGTGACACCCTGGCACTTTGGACCCAGGCTTGGCATCAACCTTGGCATGTGGAAAAGATAGAAATAGTTGCAAAGAGCCACGAGAAACGGGAGAAAAAAATAGTGAAATAAATATAGAAATAAATAAATAAATAAATGAGAAAATGTGGGGGTTTTGCCTCAGGAGGATATTTGGGGCTCACAGGCAGCCTTTGTCAGAGGGTCTCTGTGCAATTGGACAGGGAAAGGCAGAGCTGCCTGCAAATGTCTGGGACATGAGGCCAGGAGATTTCCCACTAACCAAGAGATCATTCTGGTATTCACAAAGGTGATTTTCCAGGCCATGAAGTCTTCAGAACAAAAATGGACTCTTTTGGGCAAATTCAACAGCTGGTCTCAATATGAGATTGCTTTGGGAAAGGAAACTTATGGCAGGCCCTGCAAAGTGATCTGCTGATTGTTAGGGCTTTAATCTCTGTAAATAACCTTTTCCTCTGCCTTTTTGAGGCATGGGGAGAAGATTCCCATCTCCCCTCTCCAATAAAGATGTCAGGTCAAAGAACATATCTATGAGAGAAGCAGGAATACTGGGTGCACATGTTCCTTTAGATCTTCCTCCTCTACATCCATCCCTGTGCCCTCTTATTCACCTTTATATGAAGTATCAGATTCAGGATAAAAAGGTCACGGACCAGGGGACATTAGGCTTTTTCTTTCAAGCCGAACATGCTCTATATTTTCATCCATGCCAGAGTGAGGATCAATTTGTGGCAGAAAACAAAGTTCATTAATGGGAGCACTGCAAACAGTGAGAACGAGCCTAGGAGGACATTCAATGCCAGATTGCTGCAAGGCACTAATGAGGGAGAAGGAGGGAAGACAGCAGGAGGTTTTCTTCCCAGTCACATTGCCTCACATCCCACTGCACCCTCTCCTCCTGCAGTGCTGCTCCAGTGTGTCCAACACCCTGTCCATCAGCGCCCCTCTGAGCGTTCCCTCCTGGCTGTTCATCCCCAGGAGCTGGCCCAAAGCAGGCTGCAAATGTGCTCAGCTTTCCTGGCAACGCTTCAGAATAAATGGCAAACCATTTCTGCAGCTCGTTTCCATTGGAGTATTAATCAAACTGAATGCCTGTGGTGCTCATATGGATGTCATATGTAAATCCCACTGCTCATTCCAAATTGAAGCCAATGGAGAATTTTCACTCCTGTCTCCATCCTGCAGCTCTGAGATCTTGTGCATTTATTCCATTAATGAAATTCTGTTTACTGTGGACATGAGGGAATACCAGAGTTGATGACGACCATGAGAAATGTTGGTAATAGTTGTGAATTTATGGGGAAGGTCCTCAGGTGCAAGGCTGAAGCAAACACATCTCCATGTCTACCTCAATCAAGTACTCCACATCTTAAAATAGAAGCCCTCACCAGTATTTAAAACTCTCCATCCCTCAATGTATTTCAGAACAAGAGGTTTCTCAGGCCAGTGCTGGCCCTCAGCAGTGGTCAGTGTCACCATTCAGAAGAAAACATGAGAAACCTCCAAACAGCAGCTCTGGAAGTTTCAGAGTTTTCTCCCCCACTATTAGAAATCCCACCCTGTCTGATGAAGTATATGTCTTTATCCATATTTTTTTGTGGTGAGAGACAGGCAAATACAGATTTATTTTGCTCTGAGAGTACTGATCCCTCTTTTCTCCCCTTGAGAAAGGAATCAAAGAGCTGTGAACAAATTGGGGGACCCCAGAAGTTAGCTGCTGATCAGGCAGAAGCTCCTTTGGCCTTGGGTAGGACTTTCAGCCTTACACAGACTGAACCAAGTCCAGCATCTGAACCAGGACAGTGTGAGCACCTACAGGGTGTCCCTGGCCTTCAGTGCAGTTGCTCCCTGGGGAGCACTGCAGCCCTCAGCCCATCAGAGCAATGCCATTCACTCCCCCAGAGGAAAAGGGAGGAACACAGGAATGGGCTGAGTGGTTCCAGCCCTTCCTGACAGGCTGGGTACTGGTGGGAAGGTCCCACCCTGGAGCCCTTGCCCACCCTGTGCCTCCCTGGCTGGCACCAGGCATGGCAGGGAGCAGATAAATCACAGCTTGGCCTTCTCTCTGTCACAGATAACAAACCACTCACTGCAGGAAGCCACGCATATCACAAAACTTTCCAGACTCCATCAAGCCCTGTCCACACCAGGGGTGTTTCCCTTCTCATCTTCTTTTGACCTAAAGCACTCAAGCCTCCATGGAATCTCCCAGAACAAGAAATCATTCAGGGGAGACTCCTCCATAAGCCGTGTCACTACAAGTGCTTTGGAAATTGTTCAGGTGCTTTCCCAAAGGGTCCAGGGATGGCACAGGGGGTCTGTCCCCAGGCTGGGGCTCACAGTGGGGGTCTGTCCCCAGGCTGGGGCTCACAGTGGGGGTCTGTCCCCATGCCCAAAGGGTCCAGGAATGGAACAGGGGTCCTGTCCCCAGACTGGGGCTTACAGTGTCAGTCTCTTCTGTCCCAAGCGCCCTGGGGAGGGCTGGAGAGGGCTGTCTCCAGGCTGAAGATCACGGTGAGGGTCTGCCCTGTGCCTGGGGGTCTCTTGAGAGCACAGAGGTTCCTGCCCAGGCACGGTGAGGACACCGCGGGTCTGCCCCGTGCCCAGAGTGCGGGTGGGGACGGGGGTCTGTCCCTGCCTGAGGACGGTCCCGGGCGGGCATGGCCGGGGCGGCCCACGGGGCTCAGCGACGGTGGAGGAGTTTGTGAGGGCCGGGCCGAGCGGAGCCGAGCAGGGCCGAGCCGAGCCGAGTCGAGCCGGCTGAACCGGGCCGAGCCGGGACGGGCCGAACCCGGCCGAGCGGAGCCGAGCCCAGAGGAGCCTTGCCGGATCCCGAGCTGCGCCGAAACAGAGGGGAGCCGTGCCGAGACAAACCGAGCCGAACCAAACGCAGCCGAACCCAACCGAGCCGAGCCGAGTGGAGCCGCACCGACCCAGCCGAGCCTCTCCGAGCCTCGGCCGATCAGCTGCCGAAGCGCCGGCGCTGGCCGGAGCCGTCCCGGCGGCGGGGGCGGCGCGGGGCCGGGCCGGGCTGGGCCGGGTCGGGTCGGGCCGCCGGTCCCTCCTCCCCGATCCCCCGCCGCTCCCCCTTCGCTCCTTCCCGTTCCCTCTCGTTCCCTCCCCGCCTCCCTGCGCAGCGCGAACATGGCGGCGGCGGCGGCGGCGAGGGACTGAGGAGCGCCAGCGCTCGGCGGCCGCGCAGGTGAGCGGGCGGCCCGGGGCGGGCGGCTCGGCCGGGCTCGGTCCGGTCCGGCCCGGCCGGGGAAGCGCGACGGGGCTCGGGCGGGAATCGGGCCCGCAGCCCGGCCCGGATCTCATCCCTTCTGTCAGCGCGGCCCGGCCGCCGCTTCCGCGCGGTGCCCGGGCCGGGGGCGGCTGTCACCGGCCGCACCTGCTGGTGCCCGTCCGGGACCGGCCCTCCCGGCGGCCGGGCAGCGCCCCGCGGCTCCCCAGCCCCGCGGCTGCCCGGCCGGGCTGTGCCTCCCGGGGAAGCCTCTTCCAGGGCTTTGTTGTTGTGCCGGGTGTCCCCGGGCAGGGCCTCGGGCAGCCGCGGTACCGCCTCGCCCCGAGGCCTCGGAGCGGTTCTGGGGCCGGCCGGAGCTGCCCCTTCCCCGGCGTGTTTCGGTACCGGCCGGGCGCTCCCGGCAGGAAAGGGAAAGCGGGACCGAGCTGCAGGAGGTGGCCCTGTCTGCGAGCTGTGCCCGCGGGGGTTTGTGCCCTTCCTCCCCCGTGAGCCCTTAGGGGCTCGGTGACACCGTGCTGTCACCCCAGTGTGTGTGTGGAGCTGGTGCCCGGTGCTCCGAGCAGATCCTGCTGCTGGAGGTGGCATTGGTGACCCCAGGGAGAAATCCCATCACCACCGTGCCTGGGGAAAAGCTGCGCCTCCTTCGCAGTCGCCCCGAGCCCAGCGCTGGGATGGAGCTGGGAGCGAGACAAGATTTGAGCGTTTCGTGCACAGCGAGATGTTTAAAAATAACCCCGGTGACGGCTGGCTCCTGCCGCGCAGGTTTAATGCGCCAGCTCTTTGAAGCTCCCGTGTAAAACTGTGGCAGCACTTTGGAGTGTGGATGACTGAAGGTAGAGCTGGCAAATCCGAGCAGGCAGCCTGAGTTTGGGATGCGCTGAGCAGCTCGGCTCCCTTGGGCCTCGGGTGGTTTAGGTTCAGCAGCTGAACATGAAACTATTTCCATGGGGAACGTCGGGATGTGCAGACCCAGCTCTGGGGTCTCCGGCTTGGATTTTTTTGGCTGAGTTTGTGTTTACTGTTGTTGTTTATAGTAAACAGCGTGCACTGAGTGGCTGGGAACAGCCATGTGGTCGCTGCAGTTCGCAGCCAGTAATATTGGGGGAAAATGTTCTCCCACCTCGGTTCGCTGCGGGCTGGGCCTCCTCCTGTCGCCTTCCTGTCTTACTCTCAGCTTCTGCTGGCCAGGCTGTGCTGTCCATATGTGTTTGCTGGGAATATTGGGAGCGTGGGATGGTGGTGTCATTCCTTGTGCTTTATTTCAGGCACTGGCATGTGGCTTGGTGTTAATATGGGGAACAAAACTCGGCTCATGGGGGTCTCAGCTTGGGACGAGCTGCCGTGGTATGCAGCCCTGCATGTGCTGGTGGGTAGTTCAGGATGTGCCCAGTAGATGGTATGAAAATGCAGATGGAAATCAGGGAGTCCTTTACAATGGGCACCAGGGAAATGCAAGTATTTCTGTGCTATTTAAAGTATTTATTTAATTAAAAGTTTGAGTGTGTTCTGTTTGCGATAGATATGCTGACTATTTGCATCTTAGCATGCAACAATTCTGCATCTTGATTATCTGCTTTTCTTGGGGCACTTCTGTGGAAACCTGATGAATTTTGCAGGACAACATGGTGCCTGTAAGTAAAAGATTCTGTTAAGGTATTAAATGATGATCTTATTAATCAAGTAGCTGTGCTTCAGCCTAGACAGGAGTGCTGTGGGAGTTGTGTCCCTGCCCTATGTCTGATTTAAAGGAATGTCTGAGACTTTGTTTCATAGTCTCAGACATCAGGTATCTCCAGAGATGTCCTGGTTGTTTCCCAACCCTGGGTAAGGTCAGGTCGGCTTCTAAACCCTTCCTGGGTAATAGTTCTTCTTTTAAGCTCTTCATGCTGGCATTTCCATATCCTGTGCAGGTGGTGTATGCCCACACTTAGGCCTCCCCATCATTACAGAGATTTTTCAGGGTGTTTAATCTAAATCTTTGTCTTGCACTTTAAACCTGTTCTTTTTCTGATGTCCAGAGCTCGTGGGGAGCACCCTACTCCACACATCACTTCCTACGTCTGCAGCTCAGTTAGAAGCATTTGAAGACTTTTTTTCCCTCTCCCTGAGCTGAGCAAGATCAGTTTCTCCCTTCTCACATGGGCATGTCAGCCTTGCTGACCTCTGTCTCTGATTTAGGTTCTGCTCCCATTCACACTTCACCCAAAGTACCGTGGTCAGTCAGAACAGGACTCTGCAGAGCAGTTGTAATATTCTGGGCCCAAGTGACCCTGTTTTGGGTCTGTCTCATCACTGTTACATGACAAGCAGTGCAGATCACATGTTTGCCTGTTTGTGCTGTTAACTGTGTGTTTGTGACAGGACTTGGTGTGCTCGGTGAGCTCCTGTTTGCAAATCTGGAGTAGGTGTTATCAACGTGAACTCAGAGCTGTGCTGAGTTAAACCTTGGTGTGTTTGGGGCTCTTGTTTGAGCTGTAATGTTTGCATCTTCCACCCTGCCTTTTCTCCTTTTCCTTGCCTGCTACTGCAATTCAGTTTTTGCGATGAGACAAAGAGATTTTGAGTCCTTTATGCATCCATTTGTGCTTGACAAGTTTCCTGACAAGGAGGGGTCCCTGAGAAGTGAGGGAAGATGCACTGAGGACAGAGCAGCAACTCTGGCTGCCAGCTACTCTTGTGAGGTGGTTAATCTCCTGCATATATATAATTCAGAGGCATGCCAAGGTAAAAATTATCTCCACAATTGAACTCTCAGTGTAGCAGAACTGCAACTGTGACCCCTCCTTCACCCCAGCACTACATCCGGGTGTAGCATCTGCACTCCAAGCTGAGACATAAATGCTTCATCCCACTTCATTTACAAGATAGCACAGCCTGATCCTAAAGGAAATGCTTTTTCTGGCTTTAATACAGTTGTAAAAAATCCCTTTCTTACCCAGCTTAAATATCTACCAGTGGAAGCTGTTATAAAACATTTGCAGTGTGTTTAACCAGATAGTGCAAGTCTGAGAGCAGCAGGAAGCAAAAAGATCTTCCCTGTGTATCACCAGGTCTCACTGGGCTTGGAGTGAGCAAATCCAGTGACCTGAACAGTGGTGTCAGAGTGGTGGGGACACCTGAGCCCTGGAGATCAGCAGCTCCTCCTCTTTGCAAAGCTGTGCTCGTCCTGGGTGGCAATCTCCCTTAGCAGGACATTTCAGAGGTGGTTTCAATTGTGAGCAGAAGGAGAGATCAGTACAGGGACATCACTGCAGCTTGTCTGCTGCTGAAAACACTTAATTCCCAGAGATCTCTATTTTCATTCAATTCCCTTTAAAAACAGAGTAATATTTACCTCTTTTACCCAGATTTCTTACACACACCACCTCTAGCAGATTTAGACACAGTTTGCAGTCTTCACTACCAAATGTTTCTGCCTCTCTAGCAGGGATTTAAGCAGAGTTTGTGTGTGCCTCTGCTCCTACTGGGCTGAATCTCACACTTTTATGCAGACTCATCCTGAGCAAAAAAACCAAGAATTTGGCTGAGAGCTGAAGGAAAAGATGAATGTCTGTTTTGCTGCCTCTGCTGTTTGCGTGGCAGCCTCGTCCAACAGGCCAGATGGACAGGTGATGTCTGGGGAATGAATCTAAAGCACTTGGCTTCCTCAGAGCTGCCTTGATCAGCAGAGGGAAGTGGCCCCTGCAGCTCCACAGGCTGGTTGGTAATATGTCACTGGAGATGAGGAAACAGAGCACAGTCAGTGTGGTCATTGCCAGCACAAGGGAGCTGACGTGGGAATTCAGGCAGGGCTGTTTTTCCCTGGCACAAGTTTGTGCTGCTGCCGCTCTCCATTTCTTGCTCAGAAGTTTTTTTCTGTTTGTATTATAAATTGAATGGTGTTATCAGCAGTCAGAAAAGAAACTCCTGCTGGAGGTGCCTCCTCCCAGCCAATGTGCTCAGAGTTACCCAGCTCCAGTTAGCTTGTACATTTTCCAGACTGCCACAGTGGGAGCAGCCCAGAAACCTTCCTGTGGCTGGGGTTTGTTTTCAACAACAGAAGCTGTAGGAGTAGATGGCAGTGGAAATTTGTGAAGTTCAATCTTTGCCCATTGAATTTCCTGCAATTCTTCCTCTCTCCTGGCCCTTCCAGGTCCTTTCTCCTAGATATTGTGGCAAGGGAGCAAGTTTGGTTCACCCATTTCTGGAGTGACATCTGCTGCGGTTTGCTTGGGGGTGGAGGGAAGTGGGTGCATCCTTCTGATTGCTCAGGGTGCTGCTGATGTTTGACCACAGGAAAAGATCCTGCCAGGAAAAATGGGGTTTGTGCCTGGGAAGAGCTGGGGGACACTTAGAGTGTTTGAGTTCAGTGTTGGCAGAGGCTGCACAGGGCGAAGCCCATCTGTGCTCCACCGAGCGAGCCACGGTCCCGTCGGCTGCTGCTTGCAGTCACCTCATGCTGGAACACCTGCTGCCAGTGCCTGCCCAGCTTCCATCTGCTCTGCCCTCCCCTGTGCAGGGTGTCCCTGCTCCTGGCCTCCCTCCCTTTCCCCTTTGGAGCAGCCCCTGTCTCCTCCCCCGTGCTGAGCCCTCAGCAGTGGGATGCGTGTCCAGCTGTGTGTGCGGCGAGCGGGAGGGCAGCCTGTGCTCCCTGCTCCCCCTCGCTCCCTCCTGGCTGGGGGAGCCTCTCTGGGCCCCTGCCAGGGCCTGCCTGCCCTCCCTGTGTCCCTGCAGCTGGGGGGAAGCCAAGCCAGGGGCCAGTCTGGGCTGCACACACCGTGGGGGACACGGAGGAGCAGCAGCTTTAGGATGGCTCATTGTCATTGACAACCTTACATGTGTATATCCATCTTAAATATTCAGAGAGTTTTCAAAAGCAACCCACATATAATCACCGACTTCTGACCTGCCTACAGCTAGTATTTTGGCTCCTTAGTAAAAGCCAGGATTTCTGCTGAGTTATGCTGGACTTGCATTTC